GTCTACAGGGTGGGTGTTCAGGGGTGTTCAGGGTCTCACCTCTAGATCGGACTCTGGTGATCCTCCTGTTAACAGCCTCCCAAGGGCTGGGATTGCAGGTGTGCACCAGCACACCCAGGCTCCACGGCCATCTCAGCACACCCCGGGGGCGGGGGCGGCATGGCAGGCCAGGGATCGAACCCCCAGCCCCCGTGCCTGCTTGCAGGCGCTTTACTCTGCTGAGCTATTTGGCAGGCTCTAGAAAACTACTTTTACACACCAAGAAAATACACTCATTACAGTGCTCTTACCTTTGCACAGTGCGCATGTGTTCGTCATGCGCAAACTGTTCTGTTCTGGGGACAGAACAGTGAGCGTCTCAGGGCATTTCTGACTCAAGGCCCCGCTTGGTACGACGCATGCGCGTTGCCGCGACGCAGCGCAGTGTGGGCACGCGTTTCAGTACCTCAGGAGGCCCGCGTCTGTGCCCATGTATTCTACATGGCACCTAGTGTGGTGGAAGCACGGTGCCATCACGCTCTTCTGTTGCGTCTTGGCAGGTCATTTTTAGTCTTTTATCGTCCTTTTCTTCTGCACATAACTTACTCAGGTCGCTTTCCAGCATGCTTTTGGCCAGGGAACTAACCAGTCTTTTTTCTTATATCTTTGGGTTACTAAAAATACCTAACATCCAGCAAGGGCAACGCCACATGCTAATGACTGCAGTACCGTGGTTTTCCTGTGTTATTTAATGGGGCAGGCTGTGCATAATGTTTTCACTTTCCATCTGGGGAAGTAAGTAATATTTGCTGCTTTGCTGTAGCACTCAGTGGTGTTAGCTGAAGCCAAGCAAGAGAGAAGGCTCGGGAGAGTGCGCCCCGCCTCCTGCAGGAGTCCAGCAGGGCCAGCCGCGGCTCCTGGAGAGGACACTGAACTCCAGCAACGCCAGCGTCTACGGCCGGGACGCAGAACCACCTGCCAACAGTCCATTGCTTTTTCAGCAGACTTTGCAGAGAAAATCTAGGTTGTCACTCACATTTAGAAATTGGTCTGTGTGGTTTTAAGAAGAAGGAATTAAGGCCATACAAGTTATGTCTCTAAAATTCAAAATCAGTTTTTAAAATGCAACACTTCGGGCTTCTCCTAGGGCGTGGCATATCAATCTCGTAAAGTGTACACACGTGGAGACCGTATGCCTTTCCTCCCACAGCTGCCACTTGTTTCATTTTGGTATCAAAGTCTTGCTGTTCCGAGCATAGCTGTAGACATCTCCTTTATGCTGAACTCCAAGTACCATCTATTTCAATTCAAATCAATCCAAGATGACAATTCCACTATGAATTAATAGTCTAATGCATGACTGTAGTTTTAATAGCTAAAGTATGTTTAACTACTTTTAAAGCTCTTATTAAGATTATTATTATTATTATTTAATGTTTTTAGCACAGGGTCTACAAGGTCTCACTCTACAGATTGGTCTTATAGTGATCCTCCTGTTTTCAGCCTCCCAAGCCCTGGGATTACAGGTGCACGCCACCACGCCTAGTCTCAGTAGCTTTCTCAGCACACCCCAGGGGCGGGGCCCATATGGCATGCCAGGAATTGAGTCCTGGTCCCTGTGTCTGTCTAAGCAAAGCTCTTATTAAGATTAAAGTTAAACAAAAAGCATCTTAATCAGACATTTAGTGAAAAACACACATTATAAAATATGGATGACCATGGTCTATGTGATACTTTGGCAGAAGTTTTTTAACTCAAAATTATCTACCAGCAGAAATGAAATATAATTATGATTATAAAATATTTCTTCATTTTCAACTTTGTCTATTTGGAATATGCTATTCCTGAACATTAGTCAGCATGCAGTGTTACACAGATGGACTGAATGACAAGATGTGGTGTGCAAGAGAGAAGAGAGTTTAGGTAAGATAATAAATATTTGATTTTAAACATGTTTAACCAAAGGACACTTACAAGGAAGAAATAGCTCCAACCACATGGTGTCTTTCTGTATTTTAAATAGGACATTAGTGGATTAAGGAGTTAGTGCCCCTCTCAAATGAACTGCTCACTCCCTCTTTAGTGATAAGATGGAGGGTCAAATAAGCACCAACAAGATGGAGAGAGAGGGAGAGAGGGAGACAGTAAGAAGGACAGAGGGAGAGAGAGACAGAGAGAGGAAGGAGGGAGGGAGGGAGACAGGGAGGGAGAGAGAGGGAGGCGGAGGGACAGAGGGAGAGAGGAAGGGAGGGAGACAGGAAGAGGGACAGAGGGAGAGAGGGAGTGACAGAGGACGGAGGGAGGGAAAGAGAGGGAGGCAGGGAGAGAGGGAGGCAGGGAGAGAGGGAAGGAGGAAGGGAGAGAGGAGGGAGGGAGGGAGAGGGAAGGAGGGAGAGGGAGAAGGAGGGAAGCAGAGAGGGAGGGAGGGAGGGAGAGAGAGAGACAGAGAAAGAGAAGGAAGGGAGGAAGAGAGAGGGAGGCAGGGAGAGAGGGAGGGAGACACAGGGAAAGAGAAAGAAAGTGGGCGGGAGACAGAGACAGAGACAGAGAGACAATAGAGACAGACATACATAGAGAGACACAGAGACAGAGGGACAGAGACACAGAGAGAAACAGACATAGAGACAGAGACAGAACGCTTTTCCAAACAAGCCCTCAAAGGCTGAGCCTGACTTAGCCTCGTCCTCCCTCCAGGGTCCTGCCCTGGCCCACTGCTGCAGCGGCTCTGTTGCACCGGAGTCATCTATGTTTTGCTTAGCTGTGCTTTTACGTAAGCGAATGTTTCCTCTCCTCCACGTGCCGCCGTCGGCGCAACCGAGGGTCCTCACACAGCTGACTTACAAAAGACCTTTCCTTACTGCACCAATCTGCACGTGGGTTGCTTGTGGAATCTCTTGCTATTTTGATTAAGATTCCAAACTTTGTGCTGTGGAGACCACAGAAGGTTTGAACTCAAACAGGATGAATCAGAGACTTACAGATTGAGGCATTCATTGTTATCTCTAGTGAAATGTAAACTAGGGGTTCACTTCGAGGACCACTCCCGTGAGCTCCTTGGGGGCGGGGAAGCGTGCTCTAGCCCAGGATAATAGAGAATGTAGTAAATTAGCTGATCCAGAAAAATTCCAACCAGGGACATTGCTTTGGTCATAACCGAATTTCCCACTACGCTGCACCTCCTTAGCTGCCCGAACAAGGAAGCCGGAGCGCTTCTCCGTGTTCTCTAGTAGAACCAGGACACACTG